CAGGGATGGCTACAGCCATCTCACAACCAAGCCAACTTCCAGAGCTACTTGCAAGCACAAAACCTCACTTGAAGGAAAACAAATGAAAGGTTTTAGATTAAGTTTCCAATTAACTTTGACTTGCTAGGGGAAAAAACAAAGCAAAACAGAATATCCGGCAAATTAAACACTCTCATTTCTCAAGCATGAGGTCTTGAAATATTTTCACTTGCTTTCAGCTTTAAGAAACAGGAGTGAACACTGGCAGAGGCCTAGATTTAAGAAATGTCAAAGAAAAAGAAACTCCTGTAGAAAAACTTGTATTGTCACTGCTGTAATATGGCACTGTAGCTGCAATCTGGTAATGGGCAATAAAACTGAGATGAGGAGTTTGCTTTGAAGAGCACTTAGGTTATGGAATAAAATCACATGCATCAAAATTATGTATTGCATAATGTATTGCATAAGAGAAAATAGGGAATAGCTGCTTCCCATTAAGACTTTGTCACATGGACAGGTCATGGATGCCAACAGTGGATGAAATTTCACCGGAGAAAGCTGAAAAAAAAAATTGATTCGGTCAACTTCCAAAATCACACTTCATTCAAAGTAATTTTTTAAACCATTATTGTTCCAACCAAGATGATTGTAACTATAAAAGGCTTGAGAGAAGGATATTTTTACGATGTCAAGTGTAAGCCCTTTGGATTCAATCAAAAGATCGTTGAAGTCTCTTCGCCTGTAATTTCTCAAGTGTAGTCAGGCTCCTTATTTCTCTGGGTTTTTCTTACAGCAAAAGGCAAAAGAAATATTTTTAATTGGTTGAGGAGCTCTGGCACTGAAACTATTTAAATTAATTGTTTCTAAACATAGAATACATATAGAATTTACTTCAGGCTTATTAAAAGTTGCTGCAATACTGAAATTTTCCATTTAGCCTAAACAGAGCTTTACAAATTAAAAGAAATAAAATTGAAGGGAAAGCAAGCCCACACTCTTTATTACATTCATCTTTTTTTAGAATGACAAAATTAAATCAGCACCCACATAAAATATAATTGCCAATATCATACCGCTTCTTTTTTCAGAGCCAAAGAAGACAAAAATCCATCATTCCCACCTCCAGGTCAGCTGCTCGGCTCTTTTTGCCTGCCAGGATGAGTGCTCTGCCTTCCTCTGCCCAGGAGAGGAGCCAGTGAGGGGAGCAGCTCTTCGGGACCTCGCAGGATTCCCTGGGTTCCCAGAGTGTTTGGGAGTGTGCTGGATCAGGCACCGGGGAGGTGCCTTGGTACATCATTGCCACCATTCCTTAGTCAAACACCGCCTCGGGGCCCCTGGCTCTGCTGCAGCCTCTTCTGCCAGGCTTTTGGCACCGGGGGGAAAGGTGATGGAGAGGAACTGCTGAGAGCCCGGGAGTGAGGAGGGGATGGGGCCAGGGGAGCTGTGAGCAGCCCATGCCGGAGATGAGGGAGATGATGCGGGACATGAGGGAGATGATGTGGGAGATGAGATGCGGGAGATGATGCAGGAGATGATGCAGGAGATGAGATGCAGGAGATGAGATGCAGGAGATGAGATGCAGGAGATGATGCAGGAGATTATGCAGGAGATGATGCAGGAGATGAGATGCAGGAGATGAGGTGCAGGAGATGATGCAGGAGATGATGCAGGAGATGAGATGCAGGAGATGATGCAGGAGATGAGATGCAGGAGATGATGCAGGAGATGAGATGCAGGAGATGAGATGCAGGAGATGAGATGCAGGAGATGCAGGAGATGAGATGCAGGAGATGAGATGCAGGAGATGAGATGCAGGAGATGAGATGCAGGAGATGAGATGCAGGAGATGAGGTGCAGGAGATGATGCAGGAGATGGGATGCAGGAGATGAGATGCAGGAGATGATGCAGGAGATGATGCAGGAGATGAGATGCAGGAGATGAGATGCAGGAGATGATGCAGGAGATGAGATGCAGGAGATGAGATGCAGGAGATGAGATGCAGGAGATGAGATGCAGGAGATGATGCAGGAGATGATGCAGGAGATGCAGGAGATGCAGGAGATGATGCAGGAGATGAGATGCAGGAGATGATGCAGGAGATGATGCAGGAGATGCAGGAGATGCAGGAGATGCCTCCTGCCCATCCCGCTCTGCCCAGGGTTCACCCCCAGCCGCAGGGGTTCAGCCACAGCAGAGATTTCGGGGCGCTGCTTTGGGCACACCTGGCTCACACTGAGCAAGCAGTGCAATCGCTGCTGGCACAGGCAGCGGCTGCAGCCCTGCAACTGTGTCCTGCTGCTCTTTACAGCACAAAGGCAGCGTGGACACGGCTGCTGCTGCTGCTACAAATGAACAGAGACACGCAGAACACGCTGGATGGAGCCTGCTGGTCCTGCCAGGGCAGGAGGATGAGGCAGATTGAATCAGATTAATCAGTTTCGATCCAGCCACTCTGCTGCTAATCAAATGCCGCTGCTCAGCTCAGCGCTGCTTTGGAGCGTGTCTGCTCTCGGTGCCGACGGCACCCTGATGAACACACGAACTAAACCCACGTTTTTGGTGAAGGCAGGCCCCAGAAGGCCTCAGCCATGCAGAAATCTTCACTGTAGATTGGTACAGCCAAACGCTTCTCGTCCTCTTTGTGAGGACTGTAGCGTTGGTTTGTTTGTTGTTACAAGGGCTCCAAAGCAGGACAGGAGGATGTAAGGAAAACAACAGTCTGCTGACTACTGTGTCAGATTTTATTTGTGAGGAACACAAGCACGTGAGAACTGCCCAGGTTGATGGTTTGTGGCTGGGAGCTGTGGAGCTCTGAACGCGCCGCTTGTGCCACTTTCTGCAGAAGGAGTTAAGGCCTCGCATCAGCAGCTCACAACTTCCTCTAAACTTCTAAAATAACTTTAGAAAAAGTATTTAAAACAACAGTGTGTTTGCTGGGAACATATTACTTACTCAGGGAATTTTCTTAGTTTTCTTTTTCTTTCTCAATGTAATTTTTGCTTTGTAGCTGCCTGAAAATCATGGTACAAAATCATTTACTCCTTCTGCAGTACATTCCAGTTGACTTCAAAAGGCTGCTGCCGTAAGAAGGAAAGTGCTTGGTTTTGGTTTATTGATACAAAAGAGGAACATGATATAAATAATTTAGATGACTCGTCTTTGCCAAAGCTGAAAGTTCCCAGTTCGTGTCAGGGTTCCCGTGGGCTCTGGCTGCTGTACAGGCTGGGTTTTGTACAGCAGATAGCACTCGTGTTAAAGGTGGGGGCTGCAAATTCTCTTTCTTTTGAACAATTTACAGAGCAGGTAACTGCACTTCAGATTGCTTGGCCACTTAGTGCCAAATGGCCTAAATGGAGGAAAAACCCAAAGCCCCACTTGTTCATACAGTACTCTGCTACACGGACTCTTTGCTGTCCATGATTTTAAAGAACTTTAGAGGCTGCTGGGAAACACGAGCTCATTGTTACCTAGAGCTGCATCAGGAGGGGAAGAGGAGAGGCAGCACTGACCTCTTCCATCTGGTGACAGTGACAGGAGCCGAGGGAATGGGCCGGAGCTGGGCCAGGGCAGGTTTGGGGGAGCAGGAAAAGGTTTTTCCCCCCGAGGGTGTTTTGGGAACAGCTCCCCAGGGCAGCGGGCACAGCCCCAGCCTGCCAGCGCTCCCGGGTACAGCGAGGGACTCTGGGGATGCTTGGGGATGGTGCTGTGCAGGGCCAGCAGTCGGGCTTGGTGGTCCTGGAGGTCCCTTCCAACTCGCGACATCCTGTGAAATGTATTTAACTACTTATAGACAATATCTGAATAAATAGGTACATTCAAAATATTTGACTTGTGGGTGTAACGCAGGACTTGAAACGAGCAGTGCCAGCAGCCCCGGTGCCTTTTGACCCGCAGGGCGGGTGGAGGAAGGGGCGGCCGCGCAGGACGAGCTTCCCCACACCACATGAGCCGCCTGACCCCGGGCACACCTCCTTCGTGCATCCTCCTTCGTCGCTCCCTTCCCTCCCCTATTCCCTTCCTCGCTCTCTCGCTCCCTTCCTCCCGTCCCGGGGGAATCCATGGGCGGCTCCCCCGGTGCGGCGCGGCCGCTGCAAACTACAGCTCCCATGGTGCCCCGCGCGAGGCGGGCGCGGCCACCTCCCCTC